ATGATCCAATTAGCGCGAAGGAAATTTACAACAGTTGCAAAACAAACGTTCTGCTGAACGTACCCATAGAGAATGCGTCATTGAAGCAACCAATCAACGCTATTCAGCGCTATTCGGAATAGCGCTGATTGGTTGCTTCAATGACGCATTCTCTATTCCGCAGTCTTTTTCCGCACCGTGTGATTTCACCCTTAGTGCTGAAAATGTATAATACACGTATCGTAAATTATAGATTTTCAGCGCTGGCAGTGAATTTTGGAACACCGCCTATGTAAGCGAGTCTTAATGCGTGTCCAATCCTGCAACCGATGGCTGCGTTCAGCAGAACGTTTGTTTTGCAACTGTTGGAAGTTTCCTTCGCGCTAATTGGATCATACTTTTAGATCTAGAAGAATGGTCCTATCTCAGCAGACAATCATAAAACGGTTGCAAAACTGTTGAGTCTGCTGAACGCAGCCAATGAGTGCATTCAGTATACACCGCTCACTGAGCGGTCAGTGAACTCTTGTATCTGATTGGTATATTCCGTTAGAACTAAAAATATAGACCAAACAGATTCAAGAGCTCACTGAACGCTCAGTGAGCGGTCATAGTACTGAATACACCCAATCACCTTCATCGGACTACGAACTTGCAGTCTCCTCCAATGATGTATAGGACGTTATGCCCGTGTCACACTACGCATTGAAGATTGAGGATTGCGAATTAAGGATTAGAATTCGACCAATCAAGTAATTTTAAGTTTAATCCATTTCGTTCTAATTGGCTGAATTCTAATCCTCAATTCGCAATCCTCAGTCTCCAATGCGTAGTGTGACACGGGCATTAGTCAATTACGTCACGCGCAGATCGCGGTCTACAGAGTGAGAGTTCGATAAATATACACACTTGTCAAATCGACTCGCAATGGCCGGGATTAAAGGTTATTTGGCGCATACCTAATCATTTCACGCGTGTGCGGTTCCCCGCGGCATGAATCCTTGAGAAATGTCATCGCCGTGGGGACCTCGTGCTAAAACCGCGAAAATTGGCTATCAAAACATAACCTTTTCGCGCCACTGTTGTCATCGTCGTTTGACATTTGGCTACGCGCACAATTTCATCGTTTAATTAAGTTTCGTAATTTGATTTAAGAGCAATGCGACCTTCACGTCGCGTTTCCCTTCGATTCCCTTTTTTTTTTATCTTCGTAAAAACGAAAATTGCAATCTAGAAAAGTTTCGTTTTATGATACCGCAACGCATTGTTTGCAAATTTTAAGAATCTACAGTTTAAAACATTACGATCCTTCACCTCTCCTCTCTGTCGTTACGCAAAAATTTTATATGAATTTATCGTTGCAAACAGATCCAAGACTAGACACCCAAAAAATTATCAAACTTGTAAAAATATAGGCTATTATCCTTTTAGGAGACAGTCAACACAAATGTTCTATCCTTGACATTTTGAATATCAATAATAGAACGACATTTGTATCGATTATGTCTCCTAAAAGGAAAACAGCCATAGTATTTATAATACTGTTAAACGCAATAGATTAATTTTGTATTTTTCTTATTTCATGGCGTTCTTTCCTTTGTGACACTTATCCTCATAACAGCGTAAGTACCTTTGCGAGCAAATAATTGGGATAAGATACTTGGTGCTTTCCAGTCAGAGACACAGTGTAACACAGAGTGATCATTTTATCTTTATTTAACATTGGCAAACAACAAAGCTGTAATGATGTCGTCTGTATTTCTTGCTGTAAAGCATTCATTTTTTCTTAAAATTCATATGAAGTAGATGTTTCTTTGTTATTCACAAAATTTAATTAAGCCAATTTTTTAGTACAATGATAATATGGAAATATATAATTACAGATTAGTACTGCTAGCGTTTGCTGGTTCCATTGGAATGACATTTGTCATTCTTGGCTGTGCATTACCGATATATAAGTGAGTATCTTTATGAAACTGACCAGTATACCCAATTCTCCTAGGATTATAGAACGTTATAACACAAGCACAATTTCTAGAGTATGGTGGCCATTTTTTGTTGTACTGTTCTATATATTGGCACCTATTCCAACTATAATAGCACGCCGCTACACAGATGATTCGGGAAGCAATAGTAATCCATGTTTAGAGTTTGCAATATTTATTACAATGGGATTCGTGGTGTCGTCCTTTGCTCTTCCAATAGTATTGGCGCGATCTCCGGCAGACCAGCCAGTAGTAAGTTACACACCTTTTTATAGAATATTTTAACCCTCCGTCTTTGCAATATGAGTCTTTTTTGGCATAAATAAAACTTTTCCCTCATTTTTGCTCAATTTTTAATTTTTATTAAATAAAACATTGAATTAAAAATTATTTGGCAATGTAATAGGTATGTTGAAAATCCTAAACTTTTTTTTAATCTAGAACAGTAGACAAAACTTTTGAGCTGGGCAAAATAGACTCACATTGTAGATGAAGAAAATAAAAATATGATTGTTATAATAAATTAGCTTTAAATCTGTTGATCAGTTAGAACATGCAGATTATTTATCTTTATAGATAGAATGGGGCGCTTGCTATCTGACATTAGCAGGTAATATTGTTGTGTATTCAACTCTAGTCGGATTTTTCATAACCTTCGATCAAGACGATACTGATTACAACATGTGGTGAAGTACTACTGCAATGTACTTATTCATCATGATAAAAATGTAAGTAGTGTATAAACTGGTTTATTTTGAAAATAATAAAAGTCAATGCTTTGATATTAATTATTATTGATGAGATAAAATTATTTTATTTTAAAACCTTACTTATAGCTTATTTTCAAAATATAGTACACAAGACTGTATATATAATCTATATATATATATATATAGATACATGAAATTGTTTCAGGTTTTCTATGAGATTAGAGGGAATAAAGTATCAATCATACAGTGCACTGACTGAAAGCTACATGTTGATTCTAAATTATGAAACTTATTGTACACAATTTACATAATATAAACCCTAATATGGATATTCTACTACTTGATGCTACAAAGAAAATAGTATTATAGTGCACTAACGATAGAATGTGTTGAAGAAAATACACTACATTGGATTCCACGCGTGTTACGGAGCAGCGAAAAAAAAAATGCATTTGATGTCTTAGATTTTTCGTATGGGACTATTCAGGATAGCCTGAAGCGCAACAATGCAAGGATAATGTTGAAAATATTTTTTATTTAATCTAAGTCTTTCGTAATAATAATGGTAATAAAACGATTTATTACTTAATCTTATTTCTTCAATCATCCTCGAAAAAACCGGTCAATATTGTTCTCAAGGTCATGTTAAAATAAAATAACTTGAAAATCATTCTCCTATACGCATTCCTTATGTATATTTGTGATTGTTGTAGTTTCAGTAAGAACATAAACAGTGCGATTATTACTACATAATTTCTTAATTTAAATAGATTTGTAAGTTGCAAAATGTTTTACATTCTATGACGAGAGAAATTTGAAAAAATGTGCTTATTTTTTCATTTAAAGTAAACCAAGTAAAAAATTCTAATCGCACGTATTTTTAAGCAATTGAAACAGTCGCCATTATGAAGTACAAGATGATTTCCGGTTACTGTTGCAACAACCGGAAATCATCATTTCTTCAAAATGGCGCCCGTTTAAGCGAAATCCGAGATTGGCTGTATTCAGATTCCAATCCGAGTGCCCAGCAGCCCAGGTATTGTTTTATCCTTGTCGCTCACCGAAAGTTAAATAAGGACAGCACGATATCTGGGGACACCACGTGGGAATCTGGACGCGCCTATTGACGTGCGATTTCTAGCGCATTACCTTCGAATGATACAGATTCGAGCGGTTAGGTAAGTCATTGATCTTTTCTTAATTACGATACTTCAAATTTCTCTCGAAGAAGATTCGAAGAGATTTTCTCGCATCTTAATTTTTCCTCTGGACGTAACTCTGCTCGTTGCAAATTAGCACTTTCGAAACGTGCCCAAAAATTACGACTATCAGCAGAAATCCGATTGCATGAAATCCGATGATGACGTCGCAAGGCGCGAAAAGATTCGAATATATATCGCTATATGCAGCAACGAAAGTTGATAGAACGCTGCCTTGAGATTTGAGAGAAAATTTAGTGTAATTATTGGAAAAAGATCCGATTTAATTTGTTTGCGCGTCTGGAAGGTATATTTTTAACAATAGAATTGTATTTCGAAGATTAATGTGCGAATTTCGTCATTTTGATAAGAATTAGGTTAGAAATAGTTAAGGCATTTATTTGTAAAATTACTGTAATTTTAACGTTATTATCAAAAGAAATTTTGCCGAAAATAATTGTGGATTTAAGTTTAAAGTAATTATGAGTGTGAATAAGTTGCAGATCCAATTGCATAGGTAATATTGGAATTTTATTGTTGAATTTTGTGTAATTTGGAATGCCATTGATTGAAAGAATATCAAATGATGAAGTACAATAATTCAGCGTATAATTATGTATATATAATTTTATATATAATATTATTTGGAATTGAGTTTTATGGTATAATATGATTATATTTTATGGTAATTAAGTTTTAAGTATATATTACATATTTCTATCTCTCAGAAGAATTAAACATGTTTATCATGTAAATTTCCTTTCCACTTTAGGCGCCAATATGTTTTATCTAATCTCATATCTGCACCAAATCATATTTCAGAGATTATAATATAAAGATATATATATATATAGTAAATATTTATCTTTTTTACTTATGTGGATGAAATGATGGTTAGCCAATGACTGTTTTTTTAATGATTAAGGAATACTTTGATAAGAGGTGAGTTTATTGTTTAGAAATGATATTTTTTATTGTATGCCAAGCATTTATAAAATTACTTTCTTTTTAGGATATAATTTAGAATTAAATATCAGTTGATTTTACCAAAATGCCTTCTGAAATTCAAGAAGCAGAACTTTGTGAATCTTTTGGTCAATCTATTCAAATGAAGCAGCTACTGCCAATGAAATTAAGGAGTAAGTATAACTCTTGAATATCTGTGATTTAAAATTTTTATAAAATTTCTATGTGAATATAAATTGAATTATAATATTTCTAGGAGAACATGAAAGAATGCGAGATGATCTAAATTCTATTATTCCATATGCTACTTTGAGAATGCGCAATGTTGCTCATTTATCTAATGAAGAATGTGCTAATGCTATTGCCACTCACCTACAATCAAGCGAGAAGTTTATGCATGATGATCCCAAATTGGAACAATTTAGAATGGAAACAGTAAGAACAATACCACAGTGCCTTGCTGTGAAACAATCTGTTAAATCACAGCTTTTGGCAACTGTTAACCAAAAGACAACAAAGAGATCAATTAGTTGTTGGAAATTGTTTAAATATAATGTTAGTTTAAAGTTTGCAAAGGTAATATTAATTTTTGTCGTAGTTGTTATCTTTATATTATGAAATGAGAAAACTTGGATTTTGTTTACATAGATTTGGGTAATAATGCAGAACTTCTTGTCAACAATGAAATTATGGCATCGAACAATAAAAACCATTGAGAGTCACCATGGAAGTGGTATAGCAACATACTTCAAATTCTTGAGATGGTTACTCTTTCTTAATACAATTTCCTGTATTTTGAGGTAAACATATTTTGTTTCATTTTTATTCATAAAGTTATATTTATAAGTACATTTTGACATAAAAATTTGAATCAGTTTAAAATTATTTGAGTTTAAAATTAAAAGAGTTTAAAAAATGTTCATAATTCTAATTTATTTAGTAGACAAACACAAAGTGCTTTGTATATATTACTATATTAAATGAAGTAATCAAAACAAGATTTTGATGAACATTTTATGTTTGCAGTGTATCTTTTATTATGATTCCGCAATCACTGGATCAAGCATATGTATCAAATAATATTAAAGTACTGGATTTTTTAACAGGCAGTGTAAGTCTAATCATTATTTTATTATGAGCAGCATGTTCTAAATAATATGGTGCACATATATCATAATATTTTGATTTACAGGGCTTTTTATCTCATACAATAATGTATTATGGTTTTTATTCCAACGGCACAGTAGATGTATTACTTGGAACCAAATATAGCATTCCATTTGCCTATTTCCTAACGCTGCTTTTTTGTTATATAGTTACATTTGTTATACTCTCTCTCAAGTATGTGTGGTAAAATTAATGTGATTAAATTATTCAATTTGTAATTTAATTGAATGTAATAATTTTTTCAGAGTTATATCCTCTTATAGAAAGTCTTATGTCGAAACACATGGAAAAGTACACAATTTATATAGCAGCAAAATATTTTGTGGATGGGACTTCAGTATATCTTCATCAAAAACTGCTGTTTTGCAATCAGCATCAATTTATAAAGAACTAGAAGAATTATTAGCTGAAACAAAGCAGCATATACGTTTGCATTGGTGTACCAAGTTTTTATTAATTATAATGCAATTTGCTGTAACATTTATTATTATATTTATGATTTTCGGTGCTGGTGCACTCGTTTGGATGCTATTAAGTAATTATAACAAAGAAGCGCCTGTAACTATCTCGGTTATGATTGTGCCAATAGTCATTACCGCCATCATTCATATTTTTCCAGCGATTATCTTCTACCTAGTAAGTAAATGCCTGCATTTTCTATTGTAAAAATAATTGATTATAATATTAATATTTTTAGGCATCGCTAGAACGCTACAATAACAAACGTACGGAAATTTACGTAACAATTGTCAGAAATTACGCGATTGCTGCGATAATAATTGGAACCTTATTCGTCTTCTGGATAAACCACAGTAGGTCACATTGTTGGCAAACACACTTAGGAGAAGAGATTTATCGGCTTATTGTACTGGATTTCATTGCTTCGCTATTTGGGGCATTTTTGCATTTTACACGTTCCATGCTGTGCAAAAGATATTTGACAAAAGTCGGCAGACCGGAATTTGATATCGCTCGCAGTACATTAAATCTCATTTACAATCAGATGCTCTTTTGGATGGGATTTTATTTTAGTCCATCAATATCTATTATGATCGTGATAAAACTAATTTTTACGTTTTACGTGAAGAGATATGAGCTGAAAAGATACTACCAGGGACCGTCGCAGCCTTGGCGAGCGGCACAAACGCAAACACTGTTCTTGGCTCTCACATTTCTCAGTATTATTGTAATATTATTCATGATAGGATATGTCATTACAAATGTGAAAAGTGACGAATGTGGACCATTCAGAAATCATCTTCATACTTGGGATTTTATTGTCGACGGGATGTTATCATTGAAAAGAGACAGCACGTTCTGGAGCGTTATTTCGGAACTTGCATCACCAGTAACCGGTGCTATAATATTAGTTGGCATGAGGTAGATTTATAAATATGAATCTAAATATAAAAAAAATATATTTATATATATACAATATATATCAAAATTATATAAATGGAGATATTTATTAACAAAAATTTTTGCTAAAGTATTGCAGTGTATTGTTTAAGAGCAAAAACAGAAGCGAGTAAGGAAATATCACAAATTTTTTCCAATATGCTACTTCTCCAATCTCAAGATAAGCAATTTCTCATAAATAGTTTTAGTAAATATGCTAAAAATAAACGTAAGTCATGTTTATTATTAAATTATAGATATCTTTATACAATTATTGTTAACAATTTTTTATTTCATATTTTTTTTCAGGTGCTTTTGTTCCTAATGAGATTAGTCTTGTCCAAGATATTGAACATGCTGAGCAAGATCATACAAATGAAGAAGTTTTATTTTCTCATCAACATAACTTACCATCGACAAGTTTCGAAGAAAGATGATTATAGTTATTAATATGAACTAATTGACAATTTGGTAACAAACTGCCAGAGCATGTATTAGTCGATTAATTTTCTTACAGTTTTATTTATACATTTATATTAAATTAGGTTTTTAAAAATATTACTTCTATCGCGCGCGATTTTGTCAAAATCTGAACATTTTTAAGACTGTTATATATATGATGAAATAATGAAACCCAGACTACATTACGTCCAAAATACGGACATAAGACATCTTCAAGATATCTTATATGTCCACATTTTAGATGTAATGTTTGAGTTATTTTATTACATATAACATTCTTGAGTGTTCAGGTTTTAGCATAATCGTGCGCGCGCGACAGAAGCAATATTTTTTTAACTAAATTTAATTAAGTTTAAAGTGTTTTACCATTGTTTAATGTAAAAAATGTTATATTAGAAATAATTATTTTAATATATTTCATACAATATATGCAAATAATAATCATTTAATCATTTATTTAATTATATATTTGCGGAAAATGTATACATAAACTAATTCTTTATTTTAGTATACAAAATATAAATATAAATCCACAAATTTATCTTTTTTTTCGATCACTTTCAATAATATCCACCGTCTTCGCCAAGCCGTCGCGCGTTGTCATAGTTACGTGATATCGATACGTATAACATGTTGATTTGAGCTAAGGAAACATTATCTTTGTTGATTGTACTTGTTTAAATCTATTAATTGCACATCAATGTAGATAGCAATCCTATCAATTTTTCACCAAGAACTTATTTATACATTTTTTAAGAGTAACAACGACACGATGATAAGAGAACAGGTCTTTTTTGGCTAGACTTGCTAGTGATTATTTGCAATTAGAAAAAATGCTTCCATATTTTCAATATGTTAACTTAATTAAGTGACAGAAATGGCTGAAGGAAAGGAGACAGGTGGAACTTCGGGCAAGATTCGCACAACAGCGGAACATAAAGACTGTCCGTTGCCGGAAACATTAAAAGCGCTGCAATTTCCAGAGAAGCAGCAATTGATACAAGAATATTCGTGGACAAAAACTGTTCCGTACAAACATTGGCATAGCTATGTGAAGCCTACTGACAGTATAGGCAGTATCTTCACACCTGGTGTACACACATATCGAACCAGAACTTTAATTAGACGTGGTGTCAAGCCTGTACGATGGCATCCTTTCGGTATCGATGGTGTGCTCGTGAGTCCGCCTCGTATTTTCATTGAACGACATAATGAAGAAGTTAAACGAAGAGCTGCAGCTTTGGCCGAGAAGAAATATGATGCTTTGCCGGAAAATATAGTGAGTCTGAGAGATCTAGTGGATGACACATGGTTGCGGAAGAAACGTCAGAAGGCGAGAATCTTGAAGGAAAAAGAGTTATCGATATGTAGAGGAAAGATAAAGCGAAGATTGGATCGGAAGGTAATAAGAGATGTTTTTTGAGAGACGATTTTTGTGTAAATCTTACTTCGAATTGAAAAATTTGAATTTTTTTAATTTTCTTATTCAACTAACAAATTTATATATTAAAAATAACACCATATATTGTAGATGGTACGTTATATTGAGGCCGAAATTCCGAAATCCGTGGAAGAACAATTAGCCGAGTTAATGACAATAGTTATTGAGGAACAGAAGATAAAACCTGAGGATATTGCTAAAGTAATTTATCTTAGAGATTATTGCATAAGCGATCATCACCTACAACCATATGATTACATTAATATTGACGCAGCGAAAAAGCGTATCATTGGTAAATTGCAAGAACGTGAAGAGTAAGTACATGTTATAGTATTTATTTATTTATTTATTTCTGTGGTATTTTATTTCGAAAATAGTCTATTCTATATTTTAAAAATATCATTCACTGCTGCAGTTTTAATATTAATTTTGTTTAATTTTCTTATTTGTCCATGTATATTCACAGTGTTATATTTTTATCAGAATGTGAAAATAAACAGTAAAAAAAATAAAAATTAAGAATTATTAATAATATAAAATTTAAAAAATTGAATATTCTATATAACTAAACATTAAACTATACAAGTACATTAAGATAACCGTTAATTATTTTAAAAATACAAAATAATTTTACAGATAACGCTGAATTTATAAAATATCCTTATGTGATTCTTACAGCTTTGACGCGATAATGAAAGGTTTGGAACCAGAAATAATTGATGACTATAAACGAAGTCTTCGTAGCGCAATAGTGGATTATATTCTGATGGATTCTGATGAACGGAAACGTTTATCTATTGAAACGGTTCCTATTGAATTCCCTGTTTTATGCGTTCGCGCACCAGTGCCCTGGCATCGGTCCAAAGTCACGACAAGTCATTCCATCCAACATAATCTTTTTATCGGCAATGAGATATTAAGAGACATCCGAGATTTATGGTTTACAAAGTAAGATTATATGAGAGGCTAGCCAAAATTGAATCTTTTCGCTCTACTGATGTTTAAATAATTTAAAATATAGATACATTGTGCTTTTATTGTCAAATATGAGCTAACGATCTTCTCCGTTTTAGATATCGTCAAGTAAGAATAATTTACATGCAAGATTTTGGTGTGCTTCCTGTTCTGGCCGCGGAAATTGAACCGAGACTCGACGTCCTGTGTGTTGCCGCCACTGATGTTCTCATTAAAGAATGGTTGGCCGATGTGGCAGAAATCTTTCTTGAGAAGAAATATGATTGGTCGCAGTATTTCGAAACACAGCCCTGTGCGTCCACCGCGATGATCGAGAAATATTTTCGCAGCGTCAATTCTTTATTGTCAAAGCAATTGCGGATCATGATAATAAAGACACTAGAAGACGTGAAAGACTTCTTCATGCAGTACGATGCTGGCAATGCTTTCGAAGGAGACTATAAGGATCTCATGTTTCTCAAGTAAGTTCAATTCCTCGTTGATATTTATATACAGAGTGTAATCGAAATTGCTATCTTTTAGATGTTAGTTACGATGGATTCGAATACAATAGAAATTACATTGTAGCACTCCTTTCATAACAGTAAAAGTGGAACCGGAACTTGGCACGACGAAATTATACTGCAAACCGAGCATTCTAAAGTTGCACACCATAATCTCGCTATGTTTTGACAAGATCATTAAGGTAGGCACTATGATACCCAAGATTGAGACAATTTTGTTTCCGGAATTGGAGGACGCGGGTCACTTATTTCCTATTTCGCGATTCGAAGATACGGTAATTTTATATATATATTTATATTCTAAAAAAAATTCTGAAACAATGTCAAATATTCGATTCATTGCAATCCTTCCATTACATTATTATAGGTAATGAGCATTATCAGCGATGTTTTAGACGTAATCACTAAACATATAACTGGTCCTAATAATTACCTCCAGTGCTACCAAAATTTACTGTATATTACAAGTGGAGTAGCCGGGAAATCGATGTAAAGTAAGTATATGATTAAGTCACAATTAATAGGAAAACCTCCAAATAATTCTTTACATCATATTCACATACAGTATAGAAAAATTATTAATTTAAAACTGTTTTTCAATTTTTTTATTTAACATAACATTATTTATCAGTAGCCAGAAAAAGTTTATAGCTCTATGCCAAATTTTCCTATATAAGTTTTCCTATATGAGTTTTAAAACTTGATAATAGTTTAAATAATTTGACTGGTTTTTTTAGATCCCGTTGAATATGATCGAGATCGACTGCAGTACTGTGAACGATACAATGAAAGAAATTCTACACGCTCTTCGAAGTAGAATATGCAATTTCTTTGCGGATGAATTACGAGTCAATAATCGCGAATTATGCACGATCTTCGATGAGATAGCGGAGAATATCTCGAAGATGCCGGAAACAACACAGCAGGTTGTCGAACTGTACAACTACCTGTGTGAGAGTCGCGATACAACAATGTTCAATCTGAGGAGACGATTAGCTCGTTCGGTCGAGTTGACATTGTTTCTGTTCGATCATCAAGCGCTCTCAGATGACGACATTCATTTAAATTCACGCACTATCACCTGGCCGAAGGAAATGGAGGTTGTGATGGAATTGGCAAGCAATAGATTGAACATGAGAAAGGACTTCTTAGAAACGGTGCTTCGTACGAGACGAGATACTTTCGAAAAGAGAATAGTTACGATACAATTAGCGATCGATCAATTTAAGCGAAAAGATCCACCAGTTCTTACGATGGAGGAGATGGAACAGGCTGTGGAAGAAATTGAGCACATTTCCATAACTATGACGGAGATTCGTAAAGAAGCCGAAGAAATCAACGAGGAGGAGGGATTGCTGGACATGGAACTGAGTCCATATATGGAACTGCCGACTATGTTCAGCACAGTAGAAACCTTCGACAAACTCTGGCATACTGTTTTGGAATTTCATCAGAATTACGACAAATGGTTCTATGGTTCATTTATAGGTCTAGACGCCGAACAGATACGCGAGGATACCGAAAATACGTGGCGAACTCTGTACAAGTTATCGCGCATGCTGACGGAAGTGCCAGGCGCGAGGCGTGTCGCCGAGATGGTACGAGGCAAGGTGGAAAAGTTCCGGCAGTTCATTCCAGTATTACAGATTATCTGTACTCCAGGTCTACAAGCCCGACATTGGGAGGCGATCAGTAAGATTGTCGATGTACCGATAGTACTAACAGACATTAGTAACTTATCGGAAATGATCGAGTATGGTCTATCTGCTTTCATCGCCAAGCTGGAAGAGATAGCTTCGGCGGCCATAAAAGAGTACACATTACAGCGGAACTTGCTGAAGATGAAGGAAGAATGGCAGGAGGTGTATTTCGAGCTTACTCCTTATCGAGAGACCGGAGTGTTTATATTATCCGCCGTGGATGATATACAAATGTTGTTGGATGATCACATTCTCAAAGCGCAGACTATGCGCGGTTCACCCTTCGTGAAGGCATTCGAAGAAGAAATGCAGCGGTGGGAGGAGAAATTGATATCGATGCAAGACATCATCGATCAGTGGTTACTCTGCCAGTCCACTTGGATGTATCTGGAACCGATATTCAGCAGCGAGGACATCATGCGCCAAATGCCGACCGAATCAAGAAACTTTCGTAGAATCGACAAGATTTGGCGCAATATCATGTTGTATGTCTTTGATAATAGACGGGTGACCGACGCCACTGCGATGCCGAACATGCTGCAGGAATTCAAGCTCTGTAATTCACTTCTCGAAGAGATCCAGAAGGGTCTAAATGAATATCTAGAGAAGAAGCGTCTGTTCTTCCCGCGATTCTTCTTTCTATCGAACGATGAATTGCTGGAAATTCTGTCCGAGACCAAGGATCCGCAGCGAGTACAGCCGCATTTGCGAAAGTGCTTTGAGGGTATTAGTAAACTTCGTTTCACCAAGGACGAGGAGATCATTGGCATGTTGTCGGCCGAGGAAGAATACGTACCTCTGAGTGGCAAGATTTACCCAGCCGATGCGAAGGGTATGGTTGAGAGATGGTTATGCCAAGTGGAAGAACTTATGGTGATATCGATGCGCGATGTCGCCGAGCAGAGTATACTAGCATACTTCGATGCCATACGTGAGGAGTGGGTACTCTCGTGGCCAGGTCAGATTGTCATTTGCGCCAGCCAAATACATTGGACCAGCGAGGTATACGAATCCTTTGAGGAACGTTCTACGGCGATCTACTTAAGCAAGTGCACTGATCAAATAGAGGATATTGTAGCACTTGTTCGTGGCAAACTAGAACCTGGCGCTAGGATAACACTGAACGCCTTGATAGTGATAGATGTGCATGCCCGGGACGTGGTAAGACTGCTGGTCGACAAACAGGTCGATGATCCTTCGGACTTCAATTGGATAGCGCAGCTTCGTTACTACTGGCTGGACGATTGCATCACCGTCTCTATGGTCACGACTAATATCATGTATGCCTTCGAGTATCTCGGCAACACGTCAAGACTGGTGATAACGCCGTTGACAGATCGATGTTATAGAACTTTAATGGGCGCGTTGAAGTTGAACTTAGGCGGTTCGCCGGAAGGACCGGCGGGCACCGGTAAAACAGAAACAGCCAAGGATCTTGCAAAAGCTGTGGCTAAGCAATGTGTGGTGTTCAACTGTTCCGAGGGACTCGATTACAAAGCGATGGGCAAATTCTTCAAAGGTATTGCACAATCGGGAGCCTGGGCGTGCTTTGACGAGTTCAACAGAATCGAATTAGAGGTGCTATCCGTGATCGCGCAGCAAATACTGTCAATACAGATGGCTATAAGCATGAAGCTTGACAAGTTTATCTTTGAAGGCACCGAGATAAAGTTGAATCCCACCTGCAACGTCATCATAACTATGAACCCGGGTTACGCCGGACGGCAAGAACTACCGGATAATCTGAAAGTGCTATTTCGAACAGTAGCAATGATGGTACCGGACTATGCCATGATCGGTGAGATCACTTTGTACTCGTATGGCTTTACGGATGCTAAGATTCTCGCGGAGAAAATAGTTCACACTTACAAATTATGCTCCGAACAATTGAGTTCTCAAAAGCATTATGACTATGGGATGCGAGCGGTCAAAACTGTATTGATAGCGGCCGGCAATCTGAAGCTCAAGTATCCAAAGCGCAGTGAACATATACTGGTTCTTCGTGCCATCGTAGATGTTAATCTGCCGAAGTTCTTGTCCGAGGACGTTTCTCTCTTCAACGGCATCTATACGGATCTCTTCCCGGACGTGGCACTGCCTCAACCGGAACGTGATGAACTGGTGAATCTGCTGAAGACAAATCTAGAGAAGCGAAACCTCCAGGCTACCGACTGGTACGTGGAGAAGATTGTGCAAATTTACGAGATGTTACTCGTACGGCATGGTCTGATGATTGTCGGCACCGCCCTGGGTGGGAAGACGCAGGCTTATAAGGTGCTGGCCGATTCTCTGGGCGATTTATCAAGTATACGGAAAGCCACGATGCGAGAATACCGTACAGCCTACCGGGTGATCAATCCCAAAGCCATTCCGCTGAGTCAACTGTACGGTAGCTTTGATCCGGTGTCACACGAATGGAGCGACGGCGTGCTGGCCAACACGTTTCGCGAATACGCACAATCTATCGCGATCGAACGTAAATGGATCGTGTTTGACGGCCCGGTGGATGCAATCTGGATCGAGAGCATGAATACTGTGCTGGATGATAACAAGAAACTTTGTCTGATGTCCGGTGAGATCATACAAATGTCCGGGAAGATGAATATGTTTTTCGAACCAGCCGACCTCGACCATGCCTCGCCTGCCACTGTCAGTAGATGCGGCATGATCTATATGGAGCCTTCTCAGTTGGGCTGGCAACCAATCTTTGAATCTTATAAAAAACACCTTAAAGAGAAATTGTTATTTGAACAGTACGAGCTCATTGTTGAATTGATCGAATGGCTAACCGAACCGATATTGCGTTTCATCCGATCTAATTGTAAAACTTTTATAGACACATCGGAGATACATATGTTCTTGGTAAGTACATTGGAAAAGTCTATATTATACTAGACTTATACTCGATGCAATAACTGATTTTATTTAAAGCAAAACTTTATGGAAAAAGATAAACTTTTAAGCTTAAAGAAATTACAATATTTTTTTTTAATATTTGTAATTTTCATGTATTTAAATATAACATTTTAATCTAATGTTTTTTTTTTTTAATAGTCTTTCACGAGAGTATTCAGCATGATGTTGGCAGAGGAGACGCAAGTGAGCACAGTGTGGCTTCAGTGCGTATTACTGTTTAGCATAGTTTGGGGCATTTGTCCAACATTAACGAGCGACAGCAGAAAAACTTTCGACGTGTACCTACGAAAACTATTACTCGGTACTATCGAAGAGTATCCTAAGCCAAAAGTGTTTAAGTTGACAAAGCAACAAATCTTTCCCGATAGAGGTACGGTATATAATTGGATTTACGATAAAAGGAACAACGGATGCTGGATATCTTGGATGGATACTATGCAACAGGTATTAAAAAAAGCAATGACGTGAGCAATTGAAGAGATAAAATTTTTTTTAATTGATATTTTTTTACATTTCTATTTTTATATACTTTTGAGACTTACTTAAGAGTACATGGATTTAATAAATTTTAAATGACATTAAAAAATTAATAAAAAACTGGAAAACAAATAATAAAAAATCGAATCTTTTAGAAGTACTTAAAGTTCTATAATTCATGAATACAAAGTAGGAAAAGACATTTAGAATATATGCATTTCAGGCACCTTTACCAGCAACAGCGAAAGCCAGCGAGCTGATCATTCAGACAACGGAGACATCCATTCAGCTTTTTTTTATCAAACAATTTATGCATCGATCGATACCGCTTTTGTTTGTGGGCCCGACGGGCACCGGCAAATCCGCGATCGTGCTAAACTACCTTGTATCGTTGCCACGGGAAAAATTCTTGGAGAATGTTATAAACTTCAGCGCACATACGAACGCACCGCAGACGCAGGAGATAGTTATGTCAAAGTTGGACAGAAGGAGAAAGGGAGTTTACGGTCCTGCCATGGGAAAAAAATGTGTGCTATTCGTGGACGACCTTAGCATGCCACAGGTGGAGATCTACGGTGCCCAACCGCCGATAGAATTACTTCGACAATGGATAGATCATGGTTACTGGTTCGATCCGAAGGATACCTCGATGTTGCATTTGGTGGATATTTTGCTGATCGCGGCTATGGTACCCCCTGGAGGCGGCTCTAATGTCGTGACACCGCGATTCACTCGCCACATGCACGTGATTGGCATCGATTCTTTCGAAGAAGCCACTATGACGAAGATCTTCTCATCGATTCTCGATTGGCACTTCGCCAAGGGTTTTGTTCCGGAGATTTCAAGACTGAGCAAGATGGTAGTGAGCGCTACCATGTATGTATTTCTCGAAGCCATCAAAAATTTTCTTCCAACGCCATCGAGAAGCCATTACAAGTTTAATTTACGTGACTTTAGCCGAGTTATCGGCGGCGTACTTTTGGTTCCGGCCGCTAGAATGAAGGATCCCGACAAACTTATCAGATTGTGGGTTCATGAGGTATACCGAGTTTTCCATGATAGACTGATAGACGACACTGATCGTGAGACACTGTTCAGGATGGTACGACACACATGCTACGATCAGCTGCGTCAACCATTGGACAAGGTGCTCGCCAATTTGCTCAAGCCGGGTGAGAAAATGATAAAGAGTTCCCACATTCGCGATCTCTTTTTTGGAAATTACATCGAGCCCGATGCCGATCCGAAGGTGTACGATGAAATAACGAATCTGGAAGATCTTCAGGAGAAAATGGATTACTACTTAGCTGAGTACAACGCGGTTTCGCAAACGCCGATGAATCTAGTGTTGTTTCGTTACGCCATTGAGCACGTCTCTCGCGTTTCTCGAATATTGTTACAGGATAATGGTCACGCTCTACTCGTCGGGGTGGGCGGTTCCGGTCGTAACTCTTTGGCCAAATTGGCGACCAGCATGTGTGAATACCAGATACATCAGATCGAGATTACCAGGACCTATGGGCCGACTGAGTGGCGAGAGGATCTGAAACAGTTACTATTGCGCGTCGGTTGTGAAGGCAAACCCACTGTTTTTATCTTCGGTGATCATCAGATCAAGGATGAGTCCTTTATCGAGGACATCAACATGATTTTGAACACTGCGGACGTACCGAATTTATATGCGGTGGACGAAAAGGCGGAGATACTGGAGAAGATGATGAACATCGCACGAGACGTAAGCGGCGGTAAAAAAGTAGAAATGACGCCGATGGTGCTCTACAATCTTTTCATTGAAAGAATTAAAAAGAATCTTCACATAGTCTTGACGGTGTCACCAATAGGTGATACCTTCCGCAATCGTCTCAGGATGTTCCCGTCGCTTATCAATTGTTGCACTATAGATTGGTTCACGATCTGGCCCGAAGATGCCCTAGAGAAAGTAGCCAGGATGTCGTTGAGAGATCTTGACATCGGTTCAGAACTGCGAGAGAAATGCGTGCAGATGTGCAAACAATTCCACACGAGTGTCTCCGTGACGAGTGAAGATTATTACTTGACTTATGGTAGAAGATATTACGTCACACCCACGAGTTTTCTGCAATTGATCAAATCATTATATAGATTGCATGGACAGAAAATCGAGCAGATCACCGTGCAACAGAATCGCTACGAAACCGGTCTGGAGAAGCTAGATTTCGCTGCTGGCCAAGTAACGATCATGCAGAACGAATTGCATCAATTACAACCGAAGTTATTAGCGCAGTCGCAATTGAGTGACAAGCTAATGATTAGAATTGAACAAGATACTGTCAATGTAGAAGCGAAGAAAGAAATTGTGGCGGCTGATGAAGCCTTGGCAAATGAAGCAGCTGCGGCAGCTCAAGCAATTAAGGACGACTGCGAGAGCGATTTGGCAGAAGCTACGCCGGCGTTGGAAGCTGCTTTAGCGGCATTGGACACTCTAAAACCGGCAGACATCACGATTGTGAAGGCGATGAAGGCTCCACCAGCCGGCGTTAGATTAGTGATGGAAGCGGTTTGCGTGTTGAAAGGTATAAAACCGGACCGAGTTCAGGATCCGACCGGTCAAATGGTGGACGATTACTGGCCCGCATCCATCAAGCTGTTGGGCGATATGAAGTTTCTAGAGAACTTAAAAAATTTCGACAAGGATAATATACCACCAGCTTACATGAAGCGTATTCGCGAAAAGTTTATAAATGACCGAAGCTTCCAGCCAGATGCAATCAAGAAAGTATCAACCGCATGTGAGGGTCTCTGCAAATGGGTGCGTGCCATGGAGGTGTACGATCGCGTAATCAAAGTCGTGGCGCCGAAGAAGGCGATGCTAGCGGAAGCGGAAGCTGCGTTAGCTACGCAGATGGAAATGCTGAACGAGAAGAGGGCTCTGCTGCAGGAAGTAACACAGAAGCTGCAGTCCCTCAACGATGAATTTGCTGAGTGTATGCGTGAGAAGAAGAAGCTGGAGGATCAGATCGACTATTGTAGGCAGAAGTTGGAAAGGGCTGAAAAACTACTGGGCGGTCTGAGCGGCGAGAAGAGTAGATGGAGCGAGACCGCCAGTAAACTGGGCGCCAGTCTGGGGAATGTGATTGGAGACGTTCTACTATCATCCGGAATGGTGGCTTATTTGGGAGCATTCACAGTGGAATATAGAAATAAGTTAATCGATCAGTGGCACGCTTCTTGTATGCAAGCGGCTATACCATGTAGCACGAAGTTTAATTTGATCGATATATTGGGTGAAGCTATAGAAATCAGGAGCTGGACCATCCAAGGATTACCAGCCGATAATTTTTCGGTGGAAAACGGTATAATCGTGAAGCACGCTGATCGTTGGCCGCTCATGATCGATCCGCAAAATCAAGCGAATAAATGGGTAAAGAACATGGAGAAACTGAACAAGTTAGCGGTGATTAAACTCACGGATCCCAATTACTCGAGAGTGATGGAAATGAGCATTCAACTGGGATCGCCGGTACTGTTGGAGAATATTCTGGAGGAGATTGATGCGATTCTGGAGCCTGTGTTGCTGAAGAACGTATACAAGCAGCGCGGAGTGCTATATCTGAAGTTTGGCGAAACCGTACTGGAGTATAATCCGAACTTTCGATTCTATATCACCACGCGTTTGCGAAATCCACATTACCTGCCCGAGATCGCGGTAAAGGTGACTCTACTAAACTTCATGATCACGCCGCAAGGTCTGCAGGATCAGCTATTAGGCATAGTTGTGGCTAAAGAGCTACCGACGCTGGAAGAGAAGAAGAATCAACTGATAGTGGAAGGCGCGAACAACAGGAGGATTCTAAAGGAGATTGAGGATAAGATCTTGGAGGTTCTCACAACGTCCGAAGGCAACATACTCGAAGATGAGACCGCTATCAGAATTCTCTCGACCTCCAAGATGCTGTCAGAAGACATTGAGGCGAAACAGAAGATTGCAGTAAAGACCTCGACAGAGATAGACAAAGCTCGTAATGGTTACAAACCCGTCTCGAAACACGGTGCGGTTCTCTTCTTTTGTATCTCTGAGTTGGCCAACATCGATCCCATGTACCAGTATTCACTACCATGGTTTTTACATCTCTACGTCATGGCAATAACCAACAGCGAGCAATCGACAGAGTTGGACTTGCGAATGAAGAGTCTCAATTCATATTTCACGGCAAGTATTTATAGAAATGTATGTCGTTCTTTGTTCGAGAAGGACAAACTGATATTCTCTCTGGTCCTTTGCGTCGGTCTACTACGCGCCGCTCATAAACTAGAAGAAGAGCTTTGGGTATTTTTATTGACGGGTGGAGTGGCTCTCGACAATCCTTATCCTAACCCTGATCCCTCATGGCTATCCGACAAATCCTGGTCCGAGGTTGTGAGAGCTAGTCTCCTGCCAGGTCTTGAAAAATTGAGGAAGTCCTTCCAGTCCAACGTGTCACAGTGGCAAGCATATTATGATCTGTCGAACCCGCAGTATCCTGGTCCGAGGTTGTGAGAGCTAGTCTTCTGCCAGGTCTTGAAAAATTGAGAAAGTCCTTCCAGTCCAACGTGTCACGGTGGCAAGCATATTACGATCTGTCGAACCCGCAAGAACATTCTTTCCCACCACCGTTCGAGCACGAGGATGAGAATTTGAGGAAGCTCGTAATCCTGAGATGCGTAAGGACCGACAAGCTGGTCGCTGCCGTTCAGGCATACATCATCCACCATATGGGCACATCTTTCATAGAACCGCCACCGTTTGATCTCCAGAGTTCATACGATGACTCGAGCAATATTACGCCTCTCATCTTCGTACTCTCGCCTGGATCGGATCCAATGGCTGGACTGATCAAATTCGCCGAAGATCGCGGAATCTTGAAGAAGAATCTCATGACGATATCGCTGGGTCAGGGCCAGGGCCCAATTGCAACTGACATGATCGAGCGTGGTATCAAGAGCGGCGAGTGGGTCATCTTGCAGAACTGTCATCTTGCCATATCGTGGATGAAGGAACTCGATCGGATATGCGATGAGATTATCGTGCCTGAAAGCACACATCGCGACTTTCGTTTATGGCTAACCAGCTATCCATCCAAAGGATTTCCGGTGTCCATACTGCAGAACGGTGTCAAGATGACGAATGAACCGCCGAAGGGACTGAAGAACAATTTGCTGCGAAGTTACTTGAACGATCCTATATCGGATTTAAAGTTTTTCCGCGAGTGTACAAAAGTAGTAGAATGGAGAAGGTTGTTATTCTCTCTATGTTTCTTCCATGCGGTGGTGCAAGAAAGACGAAATTTCGGTCCACTCGGCTGGAATATACCTTACGAATTCAACGAGTCCGATTTGCGTATCTGTATTCTGCAATTACAAGTATGACAGTAGCTTTCTTTTAGTAATTCAATAGATATCATGGGATTATTATAATTGTGCTATTTTGTTGATCTAGCTATTTTTAAATGATTACGACGAAGTACCATTCGACGCGCTCATTTATCTAACAGGAGAATGCAATTATGGAGGCAGAGTGACCGATGATAAAGACAGAAGGCTGCTGAATTCGCTGCTGAAGAATTTTTATAATCCTGAAGTTATTACAAAAATAGAGTAATATCATCCGTTCTTAATGCTATATAAAATTCAAAGATCTAAGAATTATCTTTGATCACTTCTCATCAATTTTTTTTATGACAAAAGAGAGTTTATGAGCTTAAATAAAAATAAATAAGAAAATTATTTCTTGAATTTCTAAAGCGGAGATTAACAAAATTATGAAAAGGATGATTGTTTGACATAAACACATTTTTAAAACTAAATTTGTCAGATAAAATGTTACAAATTTTTTAAGTTTTTATTAATATTCTATGTTCTTCCTAGATACTCATTTTCTCCGAGCGGAATTTATCGCATGCCGGAGGACACGGATTATGAAGGATGTCTGAAGTACATTCGCAGCTTACCAATTAATCAAATGCCGGAAGTTTTTGGCTTCCATGAGAATGCAGACATAGCGAAGGACAATCGAGAAGCAATGCAACTGTTGGCCGGTGCGCTTTTAACCCAGCCACAGATCAGCGGAGTAGGTGAGTAATATATATATTTCTTTATTTTCAACTTTAAATCAATTTTCATGTTAATTGAAATATATTTCTTTTTTTCTTTGCTTTTTATAATTGAAATATTATTGCTAAACTTATATTAATATGTAAGAGTTTTTACGTAGTTCATTGCATTTAACTTAGACTTATTAGCATACATTATTGAAGAAATTGTAAAAATGTAGAAATAATTTATTGCACAAAATAACAACATTATAAAAATGTTACACAATCTTGCTATTATATACTGCCGTAAAGTGACAGCAATAAAAATGTTGGCGTGAAATCTGTTCACGGTAACAACATTACTGCTTCCACATATCATAATACAATTTGTGTGATAACATTTTCATTAATTTTCATCAGGTGTAGAGAAAGACACGGACGAAGTAGTTTTTACTCTGGCCGGTGAGATTCTATCGAAGATGCGACCACAATTCGATATTGAATATGTGTCGAGGAAGTATCCGGTACTTTATATGAATAGCATGAACACAGTGTTGCGCCAGGAACTCGTTAAATTCAACGAGCTCATCGAAGTCATCAAGGAAACATTGACCAATGTGCAGAAAGCCATTAGAGGGCTGGTACTAATGTCACCGGATTTGGAAGACGTTTATCTAAGCATGAGCATCGGCAAAGTGCCACTCGCTTGGGACAGAAAATCGTACCCCTCGTTGAAACCGCTCGGCAGCTATGTAAATGATCTGTTGGCTAGATTGCAGTTTTTGCAAGATTGGATCGACCACGACGCACCGAATGTGTTTTGGATATCCGGTTTCTTCTTCACACAGTCATTTTTGACGGCGGTACTGCAGAATTACGCTCGCAAGCACAAGATACCGATCGACCAGTTAGACTTCGAATTCGAGATCACCCGGTCCGAATCGAGCGCCAATGCTGCGCCTTCCTATGGAGTTTATATAAGTGTACGCAAAGTTTTTTTATTAACATATAATCTTAAATAATAGTTCTAAAAAAAAATTAAAGTTTGATTTTTTATATAAATAACAGTATGATCTTGCCGCGATATTTTTTTATTTACATTTCTTATTGATCTTTATCCACGATTTTCTTCTCAGGGTCTCTTTTTGGAGGGAGCTCGATGGAACAGAAAGACGAGATTGCTGGATGAATCTAAACCTAAGATAATGTTCGACGTGCTACCCATTATATGGTTAAAACCTGGTGAAAAGGCTAAATTCGACATAAAAGACGTTTATTATTGTCCAGTGTACAAGACAAGTGCTAGACGCGGTGTATTAGCTACCACTGGACATTCTTCTAATTTTATATTATATATTCTAATCCCGACGGATCTGGACGAATCGCATTGGATTAATCGAGGTGTAGCTGCTCTTTGTCAACTCGATGATTAATAAAAGCAATAAGGTATGAATCATCGGAGTGATTAATGCATAATTTATTGCACAAATAGACAATATATCTCGAAAAACTGATGAAAAATATATTTAATGTAATTAATTACGTAGAAATATTTTAGTTATTAAAGTACTTTGCGACAGATTTTATCAGGAAATAAAAAAGTACAAATACTTTACAATATAAATATATTTACTAACAACAATCACACATCGTCATCATTTATAACATTTTTCAATCTCATATATACAATATATTGTTTATTATCATAAATTCGTATAAACATATATATATTTCATAAAATTTTGTGTATAGACTATTCGATTAAAAACAATAATGATCATTCTCGTTTAATCATACATGATTGAGATTGTACGTGCTTTTAAAATAGAACGTGATCTTTCTCTATCAGGTACACATCCAAGAAGCAATTCTTATGTGTAGAAAAAATATTCTGTAATGTACAAACACGCTCATGTATATTACGGAATGTAATGGACTGTAATATGCATAAGAGATACTACACGCGAAATCCCCTTTCTCTTTGCGAAAATTATGGAGGCAGGAATGCGTTCTCTAAAAGTATCACGATGTCTCGTATACATATTCATTAGTAAAATATCTTCAATAGAATTTTGATTGTCAAGAGAATAATTGATCATCATTGACTATATTTCTACTCGTCTGTTATGCATTATCGAAACATATATTCAATACATTCATGACCAAATAAAATACGAAGAATAAAATGCGTAGATATTACAATGCATAAAAGATGTCTTAAAAGCCGCACGATTAGATTTTGACGAAAAAGATTTTATATAAATTATTTTATTGATCATTTTAAAATGTTATCTTAAAACTGTTTTAACAGCAAATCTGTGTCATTTTATGACTTCAATTCAATACGATTTTTAACTAGATTTCAAGATTCGATTTTTTATTTCCTATTAATTTTTCTTGTGTGCTTTACAGCTTTGATTCTTGTTGTTTAGAAATTGTGAGAAAAGTGTCCGACTTTTAATGCATCTTGTAGACATATCGCAGTTAATCTACCTATTTGCCGCGACACTTGAAGCAAGCGTCGAGCAACGAAGGAACAAGATCCTTAAGTCTGATCTCGGACAATTCAATCGAGTTTCGAGCTGTAAATGTCACGTACTGTTGTGCGCCCACATTCATTCATACATATATATACATACACACATACACACACACTCGTATACACACGCATATACATACAATCAGACGTAAAGTCGATATACTGCGTTACGGACTAGTTAAACGCGAGTCTTTTTGTGGCGGACTCATGTTACAGACTAGTTAGTCACAAAATCGCAGTGCATTGCAAAACTGGTGTGAAAATCACCTAAAACAAACTTGATCTCGTAGTCAAACATACATAATTAAAACTTATTAAAAGGAGCTTGCAATGAATGCAAAGAACACTTACACATCTTTCGAATTTGTAGATGAAAAAAGAAAATTATTATATCAATTATCATCCCTCGTTAAGATGAAAAAATCTTGCATTCTAATATAACAATATCGGGTAGTTGATTAGAATAGATTAGATCAATGTCTTCAAGGCAGCGTTCTTTTAACAAATGACGCAACATTTCAGCGTAATGGGAACATTGACGCCGATAAATACGTATTTGGCATACTTGCATATATAAAGATACCGTTTTAAAGGAGAGAATATCTAAAACACAGTTATTCCGAAATAGAGATTGAGGAATATATATGTATATATAGAAACTGGAAGACTATGATAACATTCGAAAATATATAACGGAAAATATATTCCTGGATGTTCTCTTTATCTAATCGCTCGTACAGTATTGTTGAGCCTGAACGTATAGAGACTTCTTACATTAGCAGTTTGAAAAATTACAAAAACTCGCAATTCGCAATTAATATTTTCGACTGCTCTTTATTTGAGATATGCTAATGTAAAGAGTCTTTAATTATAGAAGGATTCATCATCTAATACTTATATTTACAAGAATATCTTATCAATCTTATCATTAACATACTAAAATAATATGCGTTAACGCTCGTTCGAGCTACTGCGAATTGCTTTACTTTTAACGTAGTTTCCTATGTTCCACGATGTTATTTCTCGAAAGCTTTCACGCACTTCATTCGCATTCGAACTATATATCTTTGCAACCTAAAGAATTTGCATTTAACTAGCCTTATCAATCTTCACCGCTTGTGGCGTCGACCAACGCTGGATCAATTTCCTGTGGGGATTCATTCTTCGATTTTTTAACTTTGTATTCGACGTAACAGAAGGCTCCCGTACCGATGAATATAGCCACGAGTAGCACCGCGAGTTGTACATGCAATCCCGCCTTAGTGCTGTACGAGAAGCTAATGGCCGCTGCGATAGATTGGCAGAATTTAAAGAGAGCGAAGGCCGACGCGCTCTCGTTGGCGAACAGGACGCCCAGTAGCGAGTAGACCTGAGTGTTATAGCAAGCGTCGCCGAAACCGAGGGCAAGACTGCCTGCCAATGCGAGGATCTCCGACGTCTCAATGTAGCCCATGTTGTCTGTATCCGTGACTGACGCATCGTTTGGTAGATTCAGGAAGATGCTGATGAAGGCGAATAGATGCACGATCAGACCGGTGAGTATCACTGGCCAGCCACCACACTTACGGGATATCTTGGACGCGAGAATACCGAAGATCGCGCCGCCTACGACCTCGCCGACACCAATAAAGATACCGGATAGTCCCACCAATTTCTTGCGATCCTCACCCAATGCCTTCACGAAGCCAATGCTATTAGAGTACACACCGGAATAGAAGGTAAGCTCAAGACCTGTATAGATGAACGTCAATGATAGAAGCATCATATTCGACGTGAGGAAAAGCCTAATTGCATCCACGAAGGCATTCCATGCGGCCAGTAATGGTTTCTCACGCCTTGGTTCCGGCAGGCGTAGTTCTTTATCGGCGTTAGACACCCCCTCGGCTTCACCCAGCAACAACTTCGGTGGCGATCTTCTCAGTACGAGCAGCACCCCGGTACCGACTACCGCGAGGCCAGTTAGCACACTGAATACGATTGTCCGTTGCTCCTTGTCAATTTTGGGCTTCGTGAAGATGAAGAAAACGAACAAATTGCCAGCGAACTGCGATGTCTGGAAAATCGCCCAAAATATACCGGCGTTCCGCGATATGGTCTCATTATCACTGTTTTCTGTCAGGTATTGTCCATGACCGGTCCACATCAGAGCGGCGCCGATCCCGACAATAGCGGACATGCTGTACAGCAGGGCATCGTGCGGCCAGAAAAACGAAGCGATGAATAGGACATAACAACTAGCACCCGTAAATATCGCCACCCGTGGCCCTGTCACGGAAATGTAGGATGGTGTTAACCAGTTGCAGGTCGCAAACACGGCATAGATTATGGCCAGGCTGACATAAGCATTGCCATGGAAGTCTTCAAATTCGTCCGAGATGCTGTTCAAGACAGTTTTCTGTAAACAAAAGAGATCGACGCAAGGAGATCAGTATAATACTGTCATCAATATAATACCTTTAATATTGTTATTGTTTCTTGCTTTTGTAATCATGTTTCATAAACTTTTAACAATATTCTATCGAGTTCCTATTAGGTCAGTTGGACAACTTGATAACTGATTTGAAAATGCTAATTGATAACAGCCGCACTACATGTTAGATATAATAGTTTTTCTTTCATGTGAAATTTTGTTTTATACAGAAGTTTTGTTTTTAAACATCTTTCCTAATTAATTTAGGAGAGATAGAGATTTTTCCTTCATGAATTGAATTTAGTTGAACATAAAAAAATTTCTCTTTATCATTTATATAAAATTAGATTTTATTAAAATAAAGCTGACACATAATATAATTTTATTTTAGCATTAAACAGTGGTATGAAAAATATTTCGAACAATGGTACTTGTAGCAGAGAAATGGAAAGTGACTAAACGAGAAACAGATAAGAAATTGAAGAACATTAATAAAAGGCGAAGTATCAGAATGTCCATTGTATCGCCAGTTCCGGCATTCTCTTTTAGGATTCAAACTGGTTATTCTGTATTTATAGAAATTATAAAAACTGGACTATATTTACACCTCAGTCAAGGATAACCACAAAATACCAATGTAGGAACAAATATTGTTTTATATTCTCTTACTACGCCGTTATTAGGAAGAATTAGGAATGTCTGGATTTAATGAGCAAGAACTGCATATTAATTACCAATATAAAAGGAAACCGTTCTCTTGATTTACGATTTTATCTTTCAAAAAAGATAAGGGTGCATAAAATGTTCCAGACAGAATTTATCAGATTGGAGATATCGCTTATGCGTTTTTTAAAATAAGACAAGCTTCACACACAGAAATATTAGTATAGTAGTTTCAATGAGAAAACTGCAAATGTGTATAACAAATTGATTAAAGCAAATGAGGATCATTAATGTGTATTATAATTAATCTAATCAGTTGGACGATTTTAATTCAAAAGATTCGTAATGTAACATATTCATGTTATTTACGACGATTTCACCTATCACCACTATCATATTAGAAGCGAATCGGTCAAACGTCAAACGCAATATATGTTGTCATAGTTTCAACTACACTTTCACATATAGGAAAGTATTACAGTATCTTATTTTACGTCGTATTTCTGATCTGCTACAAACTATTTCACATCATCTCGTTCTTGAAAATTATCAATAATCAACAATCATATCACTATTCGTGATATAATAACTAGAATAAATTTAACATTTTATTGGCTATTTTTTATTGGCATATTGTGCGTAATATTAACGTCATTATAAACCGTAAGTTCAAATAAATTCTAACATAAAAAGAAATACATATCTTTATCGATTCTGTTACATTTCTTCTCTAAAACACAATGGAATAATACATAGATATATTTGTTTAAATAAATTAAAATTTAAGTAGATTCATTAAATATTTTTAAAGTTTGATAAACATTTGAAGTGTTATAGTTTAGCTATGTTCGTACTCGCGTAAATACAGTATTCTATGTCAAGATAGCGGTTGTCAATAGGCGATAATGATAAACAAGCGAGCCTTTTGGTAAGAAAACAATTTCTCTGACAAATATCTTTGTAGCCTCGTTTTTTTTTAATTCGATGCCAGAGAGGTATTCACAGTCGATAACGGCATTCGATAAGATCTATAATGATATTGCGAGATTACATAGATGTTTATATAACGTTTACGTTATTGTGTCCGATGCGATTTCGTACAGAAAATAATCTATGAAAGATAAAAAAAACTTGCTGCAAATCTGGAACACGTGGTATTTAATAATTGTATTTGCACGTTAATAAAACAATTTCGTTCTAATAAAAATAAATTTAATTTATACATCATTAAAAATGTAACAACGATCATAAATTTGCAGTTTTATTTATTAAGTATGTAGAAATAAATATTACAAATGCTTGACGAGTAAATAAACACGTTTTTATTATTTAGCTAAATGTGTTTTAAATATAAAAGAACACATTATCTGCGAGAACTTTTTTAGTCACATATATTTTAATAGAATATTGTAATGAGTATATTGTGATCTCTCACTTAATGAGTATATTGTAATCTCTCCCTTAATGAGTATATTGTAATTTCACAATATACTTATTACAATACTCTAATGACTTTTCTTAGTCATTTATTATGATATAAATTGCAGTAATTTGCGCACACAAAACATATTTTTCAGTTAATTACATATTTATCAATAACGTCCATTTATGAGTTCAAGTCTATTTCCTTAAACTCTACTGAACGAGCTGTCGCACAGATAACTGACGTCTCCTCCTCCTGTCTCTTACATTCACGTGCCTAAAAGTGAAAGGAAACTGCGTTGTATGGCTGTATCAACTGACGAGACATTCTGTTTTAGATATTTCTCTGAGCGCTATCGAGGATTGAGAATTCTTCGGAAGTAATGAATTATCTCGACGATGTCTCATCCAACGAGGAAAATTCTTCGAAAATTCAAAGTCATTATGATCCTCGGTGAATTGCGATACGGCGAAGGGCGTATGAAGCGTGAAGTAAATTCGGTGGGAACCGGTTGCGTCGGTTTCCGACAGGTTTCGGTGGATGCAATTATCGAGCATGTCTAGGATGAATTTCGTTTTTGTTGGTAAACTTTCTCTTTCACCACTTCAGCGAGGTCAGCGGTCTGTTTCCAGTACTTCGATATAATAGATAGGAGGATCCTGCATCTTCTTATCGTTTTAGGGTCTTTAAGGGGTAACGCCACTCTTGAGGTTCTAAAATGATACCTAAGTTTGGGAATTTATTTGTGGGTAAATAAATAACTTTATTTAAAAATTACTTAGAAGACTACTGTATATATTGAAGAGCAAAAAAATAATTTTTTAATTTTTTTATGCACAAAATGACGGCGCATTGGCCTTCTTGCGAAATCGCTTTTTTTAAAACGCGATATCACGAACATTTGCGTGCACGTTTTCTGTGAGATGATTTATCCTGGAACAAAGCAACAAAAATGTCCATTATCTATATATAATAAGCTTCTAAAACACGTAAGGATTTTTGAAAATAATAATTTTTTTCAAAATGGCAGCTATTTATAGAAAAAGTACATTTTTCGCCCCAAAAATTTGTTTTAAAAAATGCTGATTGCAAAAAGAGTTTTCAACATTTCACAAAAAGCTTACGTACTTCAGAGGAAAATATATACAAGATTGTGGTAAAATTTCATGTCAATCGGATAAAAATTGTAAGAATAACGTTGCACGCAAATTTGAAAAACTGTGTTTTGAGAAAAACGCATGTAAAGTTTTTTTTGTAGCTGATTTTTTGTGTATAAAGCGCAGAGAGACTGTTCATTTAGTCAGCTTTAACACTATGATACAGTTCGAATTTCGTTCTAAAAATACTTGCATCATTTCTGTAACTATAAACTAATGATTTAAGCAAAAAAAAGAAATCGATTTTTTCAAACCTCAAGAGTGACATTACCCCTTAAGAGAGTCACAACATACAGAAAAAATATAAGGCAGTAAGACATAAGCAGTGTGCGAATCGGCCACACAATTACAGTAAAAAATAATAACGTAAGCAAATCCAAAATGTTGATTTGCTTACTGATTTCAATGTTCCACAGTCTTAATACCTTCCAAAATAATTTAGGCGATTAAACGTACAAAAAGAAAAGAAATTTTGTTTACAAAAATGTAACTCCGTTTCTCCCTGATTAAATACTTCACATAATTTAATCAATTACGATTAGACTACGATGACGACATGTCGACGTCATCGATTGACAGGCAATCTCAGGCAATCTCCATTCTATGATAATGACTCGATTGCAATTTTACAGGGTGTGATATCGCTGACGGAAATTGACATCGAATTAGCTCAAAGTTAAGAAATGTTATTTTCATGAAATTCGAGATAACAAAAAAAAATTATATGCAATTTAATTACTATATACAAGAAAGATGATGAACTGCATCTTTTAGTATACTATACGTTGCAAAAAACAATATCGATAGTAATTGTAAATTTTCAATCGAGGATTAATATCTTCAAGATCTTTAAAAGAAGAAATTAATATCTCAGTTCTTGAAAGTCTGACGTAATAAATGAATGAACTTTTTGCGATTAAACGAGCAAAATAAGGCTATCAATACGATAATATAAAATTTTCGCGTAAGAAAAAACCCGATAAGTCGGCCAGAACTATCCAATATTTGTAAGTATTTGTAATTGACACAAATGATTGTAATTTTTTATTAATTATTAACAATTATTTAAACACACACACACAAAGAATGGAATTTCACACAGTATTAAGGATATTTAATTTTAAATTAGATATAACATCAGGATCACTTAATTTTAAATTCTACTTGATAGAAAACTTATCAAGACGATTATATTTTAAAAGGTCAGTATGATTACAAAATATCATTCTGAAGTCACTTCGAAATCTTCGTAATTGACTCTTTCATTGCGCAAATATTGATTAATTATTCAATATATCTGAATTTTTCTTCTCACAGTTACGATGCCGTTTTCTCTTAAAATATTTATAAAAAAAAACTTAAAAAAAGAATATTATTGTAGAACTCTAAAAGCATCAGTGATCTAAACTACATCTGCGACTTTTGTGAGCTAATCGGACGTGATATCATTAGCGGCTGGTGAATTCGCGAGTAAACAAAGATCGTTGTTTGTACCTAGCTGCAGCGATCAATTATTCCGCTGCGCGTTTGTTAAAAATTTCGCAGATATCACATATCCAAAGATACTTCTGAATTGCGGAGGTAATGGCAGAAATGACTGACGTTACCAGTAGTTCAATTGCAATTTTCGCGCACTCCCAGATTATACTTGCGATATCGCGCAGAATACCTATATTATGTAAGTTTCTCTCAAATAATGATATGAAATTCACAAGACTATTCGCAAAATATGTTATGCAATATGACTGAGTGAAGACAAAAATATGTCGTTAGATCCTGAAATGATATCCTTAGGAACAATCTCAAATCGCGCAAACGAGATAACGTAGGAGAATGATAAAGTATTAAAACTATAAAAAAAATGAGACAGAAAAAATTCAACAAAATCATAGAGGTAAAAAAAATTAATAGATTTATTTATTAAATACGAAAGAAAAAGATAAGAAAAGAGAAAGAGATGTTCCTATATGGAAAGAAGAATCAACAGTCCAACAAAATTATTTTCAAATCTGTAATTAAATTGTAGATATTTAAAAATCGTTCTTTCGGTGTAGCGACAGAACTTCATAAAAACTGTGATTTTTCTTAAAATACCGTAAAAGAATCGTTTCCAGTCTTCTGTATCTTTTTAGATTTCACCAAGACATGGTTTGATCCTTGGGAAAAAGCTGTATAACATGTAATGAATATTTCACAGATCGCCGGTTTCGCAATGCCGAAAGTCGATAATGATGCCGTATAATTTAGAGGCGTTCCAGTCTCGCGATTACGGCGATCGTGACCAGTTAGCTCCTTGCCTTTTGTTGCTACTTTCTAAACTACGACTAATCACACGATGTCCTGATCCGTGTACTTTCTAGAACTTTATAGACTAATTTCATTTGCGAACATTTCATTTGCGTCACAGTAATCAAATATAAACATCAAATGTTCATCGAGATATCTAGCATAATTAATTCTTCACTCTTTTTGTCTCTTTCTTTTTCTAATATTCATTCTTCTCTCTCTCTCTCTCTCCCTCTCTCTCTCAATATAAATTAACTTTAATTCTGTTAATCTATTCAAATCTATTTAATGTAATTTATTGTTTTATTAATATTTTATAAAATTTTTCTAGTATTTGATAGTTACTGAGTGTTAAAATTTTTTTTCTACAAAAATTTACTTTTTATTTTTTAGATCTTTTTAATCATATTGATATATGAATAAACTAGGGATTAATCCCAATATACTCTTTAGCTTTAAAGTAAATTAAATCGATTAAAATCAATATGTATTGGGGTAGAATGGGTATAAATTAAATCATGTCCGCTCTCTCATTTCGCGTTTCCGTTCTCCGATTAATATGAGCACGTGCGGAAAAGCGAAAGCAATTCAAGCAAATCGCTCGTGTTTGAACGCCTAAATGCTATGGAGTCCTTCACTTTGAATTAGAAAAAAGGGATCTCGACGCTGATCGCCTAGTATTATCCAATCATACTATTAATCCGACTCTGCCTACGTCAAACTGAATGAAAGATCATGTTGCAAATAATATTCTTCCACGTTCAAACATTGAAATTGTAAAAAAAACGCGTTGTTCAAAATCAGAATTCTTATTACGATTTATTTATTAAAAGCATACATGAAATTAACAAAATTAAATGTAAAACCATATAAATACTTTAGGCCTGATTCCATCAATGTAAAAGTAATTTTAATCTCGGTTTCATTTACTGTTTATCTTTTTCTAAGAATTAGAAAAACAATAAGTCAAATTAAAAAATATAAATTCTCAGAATTAAAAAAAGATAAAGAATAAATTTTATCGAGATTATAAAGTTAATCTTATATTAATGAAACCAGACTTAAAATATTTATATGTTTTTACATTTAACCTTGCATTTCTACTTTTTCTGTAGATTAATTTTAATCTCAGATAAATTTATTCTTTATCTTTTTCTAATTCTTAGAACTGGAAGAAAATAAAAAATAAGTTAAAAACGAATTAAACCGAGATTAAAGTTAATTTACATTATTAGAAATAATGGACACTAAAATATACATGTATCATTTCATTGACAAAGTTGATTATATTAAGCTGCTGCATTTAGATTACTTTATATAAAACAGCCTCTGTACACTCCCTAGTGAAAATTTTTCTCAGAATTTTTCATATAATTTTTCAGAATTTCTATATAATTTTATAACTTTCTCACATTTTTTTATACAAATTGGAACACTTCTCAGAAAATCTACATCTTTTCTCAGATTTTTTCATATATGTTACTTATGAAATATCGTCAGATTTCTTAAAATTTTTGTAAGTATAATTTCTGATGAAATGTTATAAAATCTAAACAATTAAAAAATATTTTTTAAAAATATTATGAGATGAAATTTCAGAATATTTCAGAATTCACTTGTATAAAAATTTTGAGAAAAAAGATGTAAACTTTCCGAATATTTCTTACAATGAGTATTTTTGAAAAATGTTCCAATTCGTATAAAAATTATGAGAAAAATTTTCACCAGGGCTGATCCAACGTAACGCGAGTGCCCGAATTCATTAATAGATTATTCACTGAGCGTTCGCTGATATGACGCGCATTCCGCTATTTGTTGTAAAAGGCTAGAAGGTTCCTACTTGCTGTAATCATTAGAACGCCTTGTTTCTGAAACGAACGCATCGAGAACGTCGAGGAATTCTTCAAGAAGGAAACGGTGCAACCTTCGCGCGTCCAACTCCGTTCAATCGTGAAATTCAATTCAATATATTTACTCCGAAGAGCTCAGTCCTTTTCGAATTTCTCAACCTTCAATTGTCGCGGCCTATGCAAAGTAAAACGCGGAAGCGCGCGTCGACGCAAGCGATAATGACAATATGAATAATAACAACAATCACGTGCGGCGTTATCGCTCACCTCTATATTGCCCATCGTTTGAAACGCCGTGAAGACCAGCATGAATCCCCAGCTGAGGATCATCACGTTTAAAAAGGCTCGATCCATGATTACAGCCGCGGATCGATCCTCACAGTATTTTCGTGTATGTATCTGTCGCGCGTACGGCACGAGAGTGATCCGCGTTTCGCGCGCGGTCGAAGCAGTCTCGAAGCAGTCTCGAAGCAGTCTACTCGTCGACGACTCCGATACTGTTGACAGATCGCCACATGGGAAAAGGGGAAACCGCGCGACTGCAAGCCACAACATCACACATGCATACAGCTACCTGCGCAGCCGCCTGCGCAAGTGCGCATTGCTAAAAAAAAAATATCGGACGTCGTGAAGTTGCCAACGAGTCGCGCGAGATCTATCGATCGTCGATGGGTCGCTCTCGATTCTTGGCCGACGAGGCGACGATCGAGTTCCGTTCGATATGAAGTAATCAGTCGTGATCACGCTAGCGATTGCATTGTGAATATTGTGATTTGCGCGATTGAAAAAAATAATTGCCGATCACTAATCACAATCACATAATTACTAATGTGATAACGATTTTATATCCAGTTCTACCAATGTAAGATTAACTTTAATCTCGGTTTATATCCAGTTCTACCAATGTAAGATTAACTTTTGCCTGGTTTATGCTTCGGTCTTAACTCTAAAATCCTAAAATTCAGCCAATGAAAGATTTCCATTACCATACAGATTTCAATTAGGATCAATAATTAAGACTGGCTGCCCTTTTGGCTGAATTTTAGGATTAAACCGAAGCTTAAACCGAGCATTTAATCTCGGTTTAATCTTTAATTTACTTTTTATCTTTTTCTAATTTTTAGGATTAGAAAAAGATAATGTGTGAATTACTCACGCACTTCTTTAATTAAAGATAAACAGCAAGCTAAACTATATGATTAAAATTAATCTAATTGGAAACAGGATTAGAGGAGATAAATCGATCGATCGATCGATCGATCTTGGGCGAGTCTCAAGGGCGAGATTGAAGGCGAGCGACTTTTGCGCGGGTTTGACGGATCATCAACCGT